TTGCTCTGACCACCCTGTCGGTCTGTCTGCTCAGGGTGCAGCCATCAGAAACGTGTGGACCCTTCCGGGGGCTAGAAACCATCTACAAATCAGGGAAGAGCTGGGTGCTAGTGCTGCAGAAGTCCAACCCCAACATCACTTGGTTCGCCTGGGTCCACCAGCACCTGGTGGAGAACACCTTCCTCCTGTTCTTCATGTCTGGGGCCCTCCTGTGAGTATAGACCAAAGCCCAAGGCTGAATCCTGGGCCTTGCTTTGAGGGTCCCACTGTCATGGCCCTAAGCAGGGCTGGGAGCTGGGGTGACAATCCAGAGCCCTGTGCCCCATCCTGGTGCCAGGAGCACAGTGTTCCTCAGCTTCCTGCCCAGTTGCCACCATCCCCTCCTGTTGTCGCAGAGCTGTGATCTACTTCTACATCCAAGTGGTGAGAGGCCAGCAGAGGGTCATCTGCCTGCTCAGGGAGCAGATCGCCAAGGTGTGTGAGCACTGCACCCTGTCCCTGCCCGTCCTGGCTGCTCCAGGCCTGGTCCAGCCCCAGGACTGCCAGTTCAGGCTCTGGCCCTGGCAGCACTGCCACTCAGCTGTCCCACGGCTCTGTTGTTGCAGGAGGGGGAAGATAAGATATTTCTCATGCAGAAGCTTCACTCCGTTTATGAGCAGCGAGAGAGACGTGCCTGAGGCCCAGGTAAGGCTGGCATGAAGGGCTGGATCTGTCCATCACAATACTGTGCTGGAAGCTGCAGGAGCACAGGATGCTGGGGAAGATCCTCCCTGCTTGCTGTGGCCAAGGACCCTTTGAGGCATGTCAATAGAAATGCCATGGCACAGGGATGCAGGTGCTCCTGCTGCCTGCAGCTGCTGGGATGCAGCACATGCAGAACTAGGACTGCTGTCACACCCCAGGGCACAGCAGTGGGGCTGCCTCACCAGCACAGTCCTGCCTGTGGGTGATCACTGCTTGCAGAGAACAGCTCTTCAGCTCTCCTCCCTACCAGCACACTGACCCCATGGAGAATGGCCCTGGGCTGTTTTCAGAATCCTTTGGAGACAGCAGAGCTTTCTGGATGGAGAAACCTGCAGCCCATTTCACGTTGTCCAGGGGCAGCAAGGATGGAACTGGGAGCTGCCAGGCACTGACAGGGCTGACCCAGCTCCAGCCCTGTGCCTGGCTCGCCAGGAGAGCAGCTGTCTGATCCCAGTCCTACGAAAAAGGCCTCTGGGCCACCCCAGCAGCCCTACACACACTGCACCAGCTGGCAAGACGGACTCAGAAGAACCACTGTGGTGCTGGGCTGAGCAGGGACCCCGTGGGCTCAGGCTGACCTGGCCCATTAAAGTGCTGCTGCACAGGAGGGCTCTGGCTGGTGTCTGGACCTGTTGGGCTGGAAGCAGGCAGGTGGGGTTGGTGCGTCAGCGCTGGTTGTGGTGGTGACTCAGCAGCTGTGTCAGGGTGTGCTCAGACTCCTCGGCACCGCCTGCTTGCCCATCTGGCTGCCCAGGGCAGAGCACAGCTCAGCCCACACCGCTGGAGTGAGGGCCACTGTTGCCCTGTGAGCCGTGAGCCACTGTGGGCAGTGTCTGCAGCCCCCGGCACCGAGAGCTGCTCCCCTCCATGGCGCACTGCTGGCAGCCCCAGGCCCTGGGACAGCAGCTGCCCCTGTGCCACAGCACTGACAGGCCCAGGGCAGGATGTGCCACTGTGTGTGCCAGGCACAGGCAGCCACCAGTACCCCGTGACTTGGCACTGGCACCGCCGGGTGAGGCAGCTGGGCCAGGCCGGGCCGTCAGCGCAGGCACAGGACGGGTTATTGTCATGGACAGACACTGGCCATAAGTGTGGGCATGGGGTGGGTCCTGCACACAGCCCCAGCCCTTCTTGGGATGCATTAAGAGGAGTATTGCCAGCAGGTCACAGAGGTGATCCTGCCCCTCTACCGAGCCCTGGTGAGGCCACATCCGGAGTGCTGTGTCCAGTTTTGGGCTCCTTAGGACAAGAGGGACATGGAGCTCCTGGAACAGATCCCACAGGCTACAGAAATGATTAAGGGACTCGAGCATCTCTTATGAGGACAGGTTGAGGGAGCTGGGCCTGTTCAGCCTCAAGAAGAGATGTCTGAGAGGGGACCTCATCAGTGTCTGTCAGTATCTGCAGGGAGGTGTCAGAGGATGGACCAGATTCTGCTCAAGGGTGCCAAGCAATAGGACAAGAGGCAACAGGAAATTCCACCTGAATATAATCCTGATGGGCCCCTTCCAACTCAGCATATTCTACGATATTCTATGAGAAAGAACTTCTTTCCTCTGCAGTGACCACACACCAGAACAGGCTACCCAGAGAGCTGGTGGAGTCTCCCTCACCGGAGATACTCCAGAACCATCTGGATGCAATCCTGTGCCATGTGCTCTGGGATGATGCTGCTTGAGCATGGAGGTTGGACCAGACAACCCTCTGTGGTCTCTTCCAGCTTGACCCATTCTGAGATTCTCTGAGCCCAAGTGAGTGCTGGGGAGCAGCCACGGGCTGGAACTTGCTACAACTTGTGAGACATCCCTGACTGAGACATCCCTGTCAGTGGACCTACCCCAGCTCCTGACACCCACCCAGGTTCCCCAGTCCTTCCACACCTTTCCCCAGGTCACCCCACTGTGGCTGGACTGGCATGATGCCTGTAGGGCCAGAGCTGCTGGCAGGAGCCCCATATGCACTCAGTCTCCAACCTGGGCAGCCTTACCAGCCCCTGCCCTGCTTAGCCCAGCTCAGATGCTACCCTAGCCCCCAGCCCCACTGCAGCAACCCCTCCTGTGCTCAGAGGTGCCAGCACAGTCTGGCCTCTGAGCCTTCTGCTCATCCCTTCCCCAAAAGCCTGGAGTTTCCTCCCAGGCACAGGGCAGCCACCAGCCTGGACAGTTTGGTCAGAGTTTTACTGTGAAGTCCCACGGGGATACAGTCTGTCACCAGCCAGTGACACTGTTCCAGGCCCTGCTCCCAGCACCACACAAGGCAGCTGCTCTCTGGCCACCTCCTTTGGTGACAGAATTGTCCTGGGCTGCTGCAGGCACCTGGCAGGGTCGGGGTCAATGGGGGTTTCCAAGGGTGGCCCGAAGCCACTGCAGGACATCGGCCAGACCGGTCCCGTCGCGGGCGCTGGTCTCCAGCATCGTGATGGGCTGCGTGGCACAGGACACGATGTCCTGCATGCGGAACAGTGACTTCATCTCCAGCAGCGACATGTAGCAGGGCAGGTCACTGCAGTGGGGAGAGGGGGGCTGCATTAGCCCACCACAACAGCTCCCAGCTTGGGGGTCTACAGCCCACGAAGTGCAGCAAAGTGCAGCTGCTACCCCCGGGCAGCCCCACCCTCCGAGCTGATCCCCCTCCTCACATCTTGTTGAAGAGCACCAGGACGGGCACGGAGGCGAGCGGCGCCGCCGAAAGGACGGAGAGCAGCTGGATGCAGGACGAGGAGACCTGGGTGGGGTTGGAGGCATCGACCACGAACTGCAGGGGGAGAAGGGAAAGCGGGGTGCGGGTGTGCCGAGGGCAGCCCCGGGCGCCGGGCCAAAGCAGGGCACGGAGGAGGGAGATCTCACGGGGTGCCGGTGCCGCTCACCAGAAGAGCGCTGCACTCGCTGTAGTAGCTGGGCCAGAT